AGATGCTTGGTCGGGATCCTCTTTACTACAAAGGTCACCAGGCTGGAACTTGTGGGCAAGCAAGGATACAGCCTCTCAAACTCTTTATGAATTGTCCACTGGGTATGTTGCAGAGCCCGTAAATACTTAAGGAGGGAATGGTTAGTAACTTTTGCCTTATGAACATCTTGATCAACATGGCCCTTAGCAGAGCAAAAGGTAGGAGGCTGGCTCAATTTTCACCCATCAAGGACATATTTAGTTTACTTGTTCTGAGTTTTGTGGCCTCTAGGCACAGTTTAGTCTCCAATCAACTTTTAGGAGCTTTGCCAGATTTAGGAAAACTTTGGCCATGAAGGCCAGGCAACTGTGAGACCCCAGGGAGATGAGCAACCCAAATCTGGGATTTTTTAAAAAAAAATTTGGACTCAGCAGTTTTGGCTGCCTCCAGATGGGTGGCCTGGTAGAGTTTGGCGACCATCCATCTTCTCATAACAGAAAAGAATACAGGTCTCTCATCCGGCAAGAACCATCACGCGTTTGCCTTCTGTTGGCATCTTCCCTTTTGCCCACTTGATTTCTTTGTGCATAGATTGGGCTCTGGAGCAATTCAGGGTAGAGTCTGGAGAGGCCCCAGTGGTTCTCGGGCTTCCTGGTGGCTGCCTAGATTTCTGTTGCCCTGTTTCCTCGGGACCCAGGGGATTTCCTTCTGACACATGTTGCTGTGGACAATAACTACTTCTCTTGGCAGCTTCTGGTAGGGCCAGGATTTTTTCTTTGTTTTTCATTTCCTTTGCAGCTTAGGTGAGGAGCCCCCTCTCTCCACAGAGGGCCCTGTTGACATGGTCTACGGCAAATGCATACTGATTGTGTACACAGAGATGGTTTGCCCTATTCCCACCAAAGGTCTGGGTTGGTGCCAGAAGCTCAGCGCTTTGTGCTGAAGTCCCTTGGCTGAGAGATTGGACCCACATTGTCCTGTTCAAGGTGAGAACTCTGGCTCCCGGAATACCTGGTTTTACCTTGAACAAAACTCTTCCTATTTCATACCTCTTCAGTTATGATGGATTGGACTGCATCAGTCACTTTCAGGAAGTGTGGACTTTGGTGGCATCAGAGCCCAGAGTGGAGGCTGGAGGCTCAGGGCCATCAGCCCCATGGAGGAGTGGAGATGCAGTGCTGTATTTGCAGGGGCAGTAGCAGCTGGGGCTGGAGCTGAAACTTCTTGAGTCCATCTTTCACAGTGGCCATGAGCAGCTTCTGCATGGTCAGTGCCTGCTTGTGAGCTCCTTCTGTCCAGAGCTGGAGGGGCTGGGGCTGGGACAGTACCCTGAAACATCCCTCCTCATGAGGTGGGTGCCAGGGACCCTGTTTGTATCTACTACAACATCGTGGAATCATAGCCTGCTATGCCCCCCCTCTGGTCCTTTGAGTCTGATGGCCCTCACTGGTTTGCTGTCTTGGAGTGGTTCTACTGGGTTATCATCTGGCAGCAGGCTGGCTAGGCTGAAGTTTTACAGAATTGGATGTGGTTTATGTCTTCTTTCAACCAATGATCTGCATCACTGGAAAAGTCAGACACTGGTATCTCTCCAGAGAAAGCCGCTGGTTAACACTGGGAAACTGTTTAGAGTCTCCCAGTCACTTTCTTCTAGATGGCCTAAACTCTCATGAGGCCACCCAACTCCAAGAGAGGGGCAATTGATTTCACAGCAGGTCCGGAGTTTTCGGAAGAATGTGAGGAATAGTCATCACATGTTCTCATTGGCAAAACCTCCCTTGGGTTGCAGCAAACTCCACCGTGGTCCACAGTGGCCTCCTCCAGCGGTTGCAGCTGGCGTGGCCATAGCAATAGCAGCAGTTGCTGGCACTGCAGCCACAGTCACTGGGGGAAAGCAGGGGTGGGAGGAGGGCACAGCCCATGAGCCTGCAGGAAATAATGCAACATCTCAGGGAAGCTCACTCCCCCTTCCATTTTAGATCTGTTTGCCCAACCAACAGAATTGATAGAAACACACAAACAGACACATAGTCAAGACTTCCAGGGGTGGCCACTATATATAGTCATACATCCAAATAGACCAGGAAAGTCCAGTGCCATCTCACATGGATCCTGGATGCTGGATCAGTGGCTATGACCATCCTGACTCTCCTTTGTGTCCTAAACAGAAGATACCATAGCTAGACTTACCCCTGGAAGTGATAGACCAGGTAACTTTTGATTTTGTTCCCTTTTGGGCTGGAAGTGTCAGATTTTTCTGAAGTGTCAGTCAGCAATTGATCAAAGGGAGTCCTGGGGCCCTGTAACATACGAGGTTGTGCACCTCCTAAGACTCCCTTGACCACTGTACTCTTACTTACCTACTCTGAGGGGTTCTGAGACTTTAGGTCTGGTCTCTGGGGATCTCACTGGGGCCTCCAGAAATGTTGTGAGGGAGCCACCAGAGAAGACCACTCAGACACAGGTTTCAGCCAATAGAAAGTCTTTATTAGGCAGCCACTGACTACACTGGTTGTTCAGGACCTCAATGCAGTCCAAAGCCTTTCTCAGGGTGAGCTTTTACAAACAAAAACCACTACCTGGGTCAACACACCTCAATTAGCAAGGATAGTTAACCAGAAGCAGAACTACATAAGCCAAAAAGGCAAGGTTAGTACATTTAGAGACTTTCCCAGAACTATGGACTTCAATGGCTTAGGTCTTTGTTTTATTTTTGACAGGCTTTGCTGCCTATGTGCTGGGTTCCACAGCCTGAATGGTACTCTCATCATGGTATCAGTTGTGCTAAGATCTGGGGGCCTGTTACATGGGTTATTAACAAAAAGAAGAGGACATGAAAGTGTGAGGGGGAATTTGTTATAGGGTATAGAGTAAGTAGAAGAGGAGTTGGGGAATATGATCAAGATTGTATGCATACATGAAATTGTTAAAGAATAAATAAAAACATAAAAAACCCTCTCAGTTCTTTGAAACTAAACAGACCAGCCCCAGAAACCTATAAATCAGGGAATATTTGTGCTTTCATTGGAGTCTTTTCATTTTGGGGCTTTCTAGTTCCATTATCAACATGATTTGATTCACCTTTTCCAAAAAATTTACCTGTATCATTCATTTGCCAATAATTTTATCATCTAAAGTTGAGAGTGATATAATAGCATACTGTCTCCTCTTGGAAGGAAAATGCTTCTGTCATCTTTTCTTATCTATACCTTTCATGACTCCTAACTTCCATTGTGATAAATTCTTCTATCATGCATTGCAGCTTTTCCAGAAGTTGACTTCCAAATGCTCATAGGACAAAATACCTTAGTGTTTGATGGTGCATGCCTTTAATGCCAGCAGTTGGGGTGAAGAGAGGCAGAGGCAGGCAGATCTCTGTGAATTCAAGACCAGACAGGGCGATACAGCAAGACTGTCCCAGAAAACAAAAACAAAAACACCTTTTGGTTAGGCCTCAAGAAGCCATTGGGATACTACACGAGTGTCACAAAGAGTAATCACTATTCATGCTATGACCTCAGTGAGTGCATTTACAATGGAACTAGTCTACTGGGGGGCAGTGAGGTAGCCTTTCTTCAGGTATATGTGGGTTTTTGTTGTTGTTTTGTTTTTTGCAGTGGGTTAGGTGAGCAGTTTTGGAAGGTAAGTGCAAACATCACCACAGTAGACCTATCATCAGGAAACTCACGCTTTCTTATTTGCTTTCGAGGATTAGAGGTAGAATGAAGGGGTGAAGCATGATTCCTAGGATAGAGTAGGTGTTCATACAAGGCTGGCCAGTATGATACAACCCAACATACAGGAAAGACCTGGGGCTGGGGAGCCAAGAGTACCCAGCGTATCCATTGAATGATGTTTTGTCAAAGTGTGGGGGAAACAGTTGAGTTTTCTGAAAACCAACTAGTAGTTCACTTATCAGGAATGTCCCATAGGGATCGCCGGCACTCCAAATTGTGATGTGTTACTATCACAAAGGTCCCGCCTGGCTTTAGTGCAGTCAGCAGAATGAAACCTAAGAGATGTCTTCAGGGCTCAGAACACCCACTAGTAGAGTCACAAAACCCTGAGAACACAGAGGAATGTGTATGTCTGTTGTAAGTAAACAGCATTTCGGTAGAACTTGGAGTAACACGATGAGTGGTTTTCATCTCACCCCGTCTATGTGCACTAGAAGGTCTGATTGTGTTATTTTGAAGATTTTTTTCCTTTTCTACTTTCATCTTCCTTCCTCATGGCAACTCATTGTGTGCAAGAAAATGAAGAGGAAATTGTTAACAGCCTGAAAGAAGACCATGTCCTTCACTCTGCTATATCCTTCATCACCCAAAGGCTTTGAACTAAGTGAAATTCCACATGGGAAAACATTTCCACTGGCTTCTACACAGTGTCAGACAATATTGAGGAAAAAGAATTTCCTCGACTGAACCATTCACTGTTCTGTGGGGAAGTACCATGTCCTTGAGAACAGGAGGGTAAATTGTTAAAGAAAAACGCGTGTCCTTAAACATAGCTGGGCGATAAATCACTCCTGGGCACTTTTTCAACATCAAAAGGATAGATGCTACTTATCCTGGGACAGAGAAGCATGCACAGCGGGAAACAGAAGCCAGGAGTTCAGCTGTGGGAACTCCAGCCTTGGAGAGGTTTAAACAAAGACTCTAGTTGGCCGCCTCAACTCTCCTGTATGCAAACCCCATTTGATGCTGTTATCTTTATGGTGTTAGTTGTTGTTATCCTAAGGCACATTCTCCTCTGCTCTGGATTCTCTTTTTTGAGAATTCTAACTACCTTAATGGAGCTTCCTTAGGTGTCTGCTGGATGATTTGATGATGTCTGTTTGTCAGTCAGTCAGTCTATCTGTGTATCTCCCCCTCCCTGCCCATGCTCCCCAAAGGTCAACTTGATCATCTTATTAGATGCACTGTGTATTTGAGATTCCTTCCCTGCCTCAATGCTGAGGTGGGATGAGTAGGCAGCCCTTCTATCCAGAAACATTTAAAGAAAGAGACAGGCAAATATATCCATTGTAAGCTTTTTCTTTTTTCTTTTTTAGAATTTAAGCTTATGAGTATCTATGCCCACTATATTCATAATTACAATTTAATATCTGCATACAAAAGCTATGTAAAAATCCATTTTCCCAAATATACAAATTTTCTTTTTGGATAGTTTAAAACATTTTGATCACAGATTTCAACAATTTTAGGCTGAAAAAAATATTACCAATCTAGCAGTATCACTTAACACTGTTTGCAAAACACAAATCTTCCACTGACTGTAAACCTCTCTTTTCTGTACCTTTTTTTTTTTTTTTTTCCTGATTCTCAGGGCATGAAACATTATGGAAAAAAGAATCATCTTCTCTGAAGAAAGCATGGAGAACTACTTTGGCTATATGATGTCAAATGACAGATGCCAAGGTCACAAAACACAACCAAAGGGAGGAAGTGGCACTGGGCCACACGAGTGCACTCATGCCCTGACCGACCGTCTCCCTATCAGCGCACTGGCTTGCCTACAGTCTCTTCCTGTGTCTCACGTGTGATCTCGTGAGTACTGTCCACATCCTCAGAGGAAAGACTGACATTTGATTGTCTTGTGCATAAGGTGGGTCAGCTTGAGCTGTGCAACAGAAAGCTACAATCAGTGTTTACCTGCACAATATTGCTCCTGAAGGCGCATTAATTAATGTGGAAACACACTAGAAATGTGTAATTTTTCATTTGCAAACATTTATACAACACAGTAAAAATTCTGTGATAAGGCCAAACCTTTTTTTCCCTAGCCTTTTTTTGTATGTGTGTGTTTTTAATGTCTTTTTTTCTTTTTTTTTAAAGATTAAAGTAAAATGTTTCAATTGTAAAAAATACACACCGGGCAAATCCTTACCTGGATAATAAATATCTACATCACAGTACAATAAAATTTCTTCTCTATAAAATTTAAATATGGATCAGTCTATCACTATCAAAAGAAACACTATGCTAACATTTCCGCATTATTAAAATAACAGGAAATTATGAGCTTATTGTAGGACCTGATGCCATCGCCATTAGAAAGGGCCAGGAGATTCAACTGTTTGTCGTCTCTCATTTTGAGGAGGATCTGTGTTTGGTTATTCAATTAAGTTCATGAAAAAGGTTTAGCCTTACAAAACGCTGGCTACATCTCAAAAACCATAAGACTGATTTCATAATTTATGACTCATGCAGCAAAAGGTCAATATGACATGGATAGGTTTGAATTCCACAGAATGAAGATGTCTCACTGACAATGACATGCTCTGAAGAGGCCCAGCAGGTCATGAGGCTGGGTTGGGGAGGCTGAGTGTGAGGAGATCAAGGCTTGGGCGCCAGCCCTGCAGGTTAATGTGCAGGGTGGAGCCAGCCTCACTCTCCCAGATTGCACTGGGTGGAGGTGGCACTGGGGCCACAGGCGGGGGACGGGCTGCGCTGAGGCGCCAACACACAAGCGCATCACTGAGGACTGAGGCTCATCACACTAGGAAAATCTCAGAGGCGGCACGTGGTGTTGTCAGCAGAATCGTAGAGAGTAAAAGTTGTTCTTTTCCCTTCCAGTTTCTGGAAGTTCTGCACATTGACACTGAAGTGCAAAGCACACTTTAGGGAACAAACACAGGTACACACACACATGTGCACACACACACGTCTATTGTATGTGCACAGCCTTCTCATCCATACATTGATTTGTAAGTGAGCATCCCGGCGGGATGGGCACGTTTTCCTTGACTGGAATGTCTCCCCACAGTGGGGCAGGTATGAGGGTTCTTTCCACCACATCCACTTGATTTGAAAGTCTGGACAAGATTAGAAGAAAACGCTTTTTAAAAAGAAAAGAAAAAAAAAAGTTGGGAGCCAATTCCTCACAATCTAGTTTCATAAAATGGAGTTTCCTGGAGGAGGGCACGATTTTAGTCATTCTGATGTCCTGCTGGCCTCGTTCCTTCTGCCAGAAGAAGACGGAAGCTTGCATATCTTATTCAGTAGGAATGCTCAGCCTCCAGCACGCTTGCTAGAGCAGGGTCTGCCCCTAGAAGGTGAACTTTTACAGAGTGAGGATAACGTGCTGGGACTGACTGGACGGCCGAGGATTGGGCTTGTGCCCAGTGGTGGTTAATCCCTACAGCACCCTCCATGACCCAGGTCCAAAGTCCTGCACTAATGCTGGAATCCAGGTGTCTGATGTCCTTCAGAAGCCACCAGAATCAGGAAACTTCCTCAGAAACTCTTGTGTCCTAGCAGAGTGTGAGCCTGTGCGGGACTCACCAGCCGGCCTCCCTCCCTCCCTCTCCTTTTGGGAGAACTTACCTCACAGCAAGCTTGTTTTTATTGTCTGGACAGAAGTCCTCCAGGAGAGTTGACGGAGAGAACAGATGTTTAATGAAGTTTGTGAGGGAGGAGGCTGGCTACAGGCTGCCTGGGAAAGCAAACCCTCAACGGATGTTAAACATGAATCTATGGAGCTTCTTGCTTCTATTTTAATGTCTACACCAAGTCCACAGAGCGTTCTCATTTTCTTTACCTGGGAAGTCAGTCGGTCTACTGCTTTAGCACACAAGTGTGCCTTCTCCCTAGGCTATTTCCGCAGGCTCTGGAGACTTTGAGCACCGTGCCTCTCCTCTTCCAAGGCCATCCTGCCTTCTTCAAGTCAAACTCTTATTTTGAATAGATACATTTCTTAGTTTTGAATGGGCCTTGCCTTTTGTCTGCTAAAGGCAACATATTTGAATATGAAAGGGATCTTTCAAGGACACTCCCCACCCCTTTACTGGAAGGTCATAAACAGAGAAAAAAAGAGGGATTTTAGATTGACTTATTTACCCAGTTAGAAAACTGAAACTGTGAGGATCTAAGCTGACCAGGCGGCCAAGCACAAACTAGAACTCAGGTGCCCTGACTTCCAGGGAGGCCAAGTGTGCTCCAAGTCTAATGAATGCAAGGGCGGTTCCTCACTCTTCACAGTGACTTCCTTTCTTTCGTTTTTTAGTAAGTCTTGCTGATATGGCTTGTTTTCCCCGGTATTTCCGGGATAAGGCAGTGACAGGCAGGCAAAGGGGTAGGTTCATGCTGCGGTGTCAGTGAGGAATGGGGGACATTCGGTGGCATGGGCACATCCTTTGCCCGTTTGCAGTAAGTTGTCGCTGCTTGTTTCTCAGGAACGTCTACTGTACGCCGGCCACTGGGGGTAGGCCGGGCAGCACAGGTAACTGTTTTTATGCATGGTCTGCCGTTGTTTTGTGAGGACTGTTTGCCAGTGTAATGATGTTTAAGCTCTAGAAGAATTAGTGTCTAAAAGAGAGTCGAGCTCTTTATACCACGGACTGTAGTGGGGAGGGGAGGGGCTGGGCGAGACTTGTGACTAAAGTAAAGCTCTTACGGATCCAAGACCAGTGAAAGCATCCTCCAGCCACCGGACAGCCTTCGCCATGATAGCCCATGGGTAGTGCATTTCCTTTCGATCAGAATATTCCTGCACTGATCTTGCCCAGGGATTTTCCCAAACAAGACTGGAATTTCAACACATGTGTCTCCCCCTGACCAGAAGTTCTAATGCATAGGGAAGTGACATCAGCCCCCAAGACAACCTGGCTAAAGACCTCTGTGAGCTGGGGAAAGGACTGGTTCGGAGCCACCAAAGAGACACGGCACTCTGTAAACAGGCTTGAGCTTTGTGGAAATGGCTTGTGAATCTATGTAAGCCGTGGAGACGCCTTCCCGCTCGAGGTAATACCACTTGCATTTTGGAAACTATGCTTGTAACGTTGATGGAGATTTCCCAGCTCTATGGGCATGCTGAGAAAAAGACTCTCCTTGTGGCCTCAAACCAGCCAAGTCTTCAAGTCATACTCTGTCCAACTTGAAGTAAATCACCAGGTTACAAGAGGCCATGGGAAGGAAAGCTGACTGGTTATGGTGTGGCTATTCCTGCACATTCCAAGTCAGGGTGCTGGAAATGGCGAGCTCCTGGGTAGAATCTGCTTCTAACCCTTACACGCTGAAAGCCACACCCAACCCGAGGGGGCCTGGACTCTGCCAGCTTCACCCTGCGCACATCAGAACTGGCTCAGGATGACCACGGTCGTGGCTTTAAGGCTTCTTTAGTTTTCTGCAGTGCCATTTGGCTTGCTTGAGTCTCCGACCAGGGACAGATGGGAGCTGGTGATGGCTGGTGCTGGTGAGATAATGAGTGTCCCCCCACTCACCCTCCACTGCTGTAAACCCTTCAAAGCACTCACACTGAGGACTGGAGAACAAATGTGACAGCGACAAAGACCCACATTCAAGAGACAGTCTCCTCCCTGCCTCCGCCTTGTGACCCACTGACTCTGGATGACCCCACCCGACAGACACAAAGCAACAAGGAAACAACAACACAAAGAGCCAGAGGTGGAATGAATCGACATCCAGTAGCGCTGCAGGAATGGCAGAACCTGCCCAGTCCACTTAGTCCTCGAACACTTCCAAGAACAGAGGGGGGAAGAGCTCGGTGGGGCACTCCACCTTCATGTGGAGGAAGCGGCTGGCATGGCAGGCTCCAATCATCCGCAGGTCCGTCACCTTCATCAGGAGTTTGGGCCAAAAGTGTGTCACGTGGTGCTTTCGGTAATTGATATAGTGTTCAAAGGCCAACAGGAAACTGTCTTGGTATTTCTCAATTCTCTCAACACAGGCCAGCCCTGGGCGATCTGAGGGGAGGAAGAAGATGGACATGAGTTCAGAGGTGGGAGGAGGGGGCTCGTCGGATTCAGTTCCTGATCTGGGGACTTCACTGCTCCCAGGACTGAGTGAGCATGTGGCATGGGCTGTAGAATACCAGGGACCAAGGTGACAGTCGAAATGAATAGCTTTGGTGTGGGATGCAGTGTTGATGGGGTGCAGTGTTAAAATGGATAGCTCGGGTGGGGGTGGGGTGCAGTGTTGAGATAGACAGATCTGGTGGGGGTGGGGTGCAGTGTTGAGATGGACAGATCTGGTGGGGGTGGGGTGCAGTGTTG